ACAGAACTAGACTCCGTCTCATAAAAAAACAAAAAAAACAAAAAAAACAAAAAAAAGTGTGTAAAGTGAAAAATGTAAGGTCCCTTCTGTGCACTGCCTCCACCAAAATCCCACTTCCAGGGAGATGAACATTAAGTTTGATGTGCAAACTTCCAGACCGGGGTGTGTGTGTGTGTGTGTGTGTGTGTGTGTGTGTGTATGCACATGCATGCAGACATGTACACACAATGTGCATATGTCATTCTTTTAAAGATAATCTTCTACTGGAGTACCTTCACTTGGATCATTTCTGGAATCATGTTACACATTTTATAAGACTCATCGGTCAATCAGCAACATCTTTGGGACATGTATTAGGGATAAACTTCCAAGTTAGTCCATACAAATACAGCCTCATTCTTTTTAAGAGCTGCATGTTATTTCATAGCTGGGGTGAACCACAATTTATCTAACCATTCAGCAACGAAGCTCCAGCAACACTTTGGATGATTTCCAGTTTTTCATTCTTTTTGGCTGTTGCTTTTATAAGCATCCATATATATTATAGATCTGGTTTTGGAGATGGATTTCTACAAATAGAATTGCTGGCAAACAAGTTTTTAAAACCCAGTTTTATTTTTTACATATATGAGTAAAGGCACTTTAGCAAATTCTGTCTGTTTATTCATGAGCATGCTCATTCGATAAACCTGTTGAGTGCTTCCTGCTCCAGATACTGTGCCAGGGATGCAACTGTGGACACAGCAGAAATGATCTCTTTCTTTATGGAAATTATAGCCGAGAAAGGGAGATTTCCCATATCTCCGCTGCCCTTGTCTCTAACACATTTTAAAATGGGAGGAGAAGGGGGAGTGTTTTCATCAGAAGAGACTGCATGGTGAAAATCCCTGTTGAATTGCTCCAAGGGCAGCCATCAGCTATCAAGGGACACCCCCCCATAAACTCTGTGCAGGGAGCAAACAGGCTCAGTTCTCTGGGCTGCAAGGTGGGGCTGCCCCGCTCTCCCAACTGGGCCCCATCATGTGGGCAGAAGGGGAAGTAGCAGCTGCCCGAAGAGCTGGCCGGTGTGTGCCTGAGGGAGGGCCCTGGGGACCTGCGGTGTGTCATTGCACGTTGATGGTTTCTGTTTTTCCTCTCTTCTCAGGAAGGTGTCAGCAGGGCCTATGGTGGGGGAGTGGCCACCTTCTGGGATCCTCACCCTGGGCCTGAGAGGCAAGCACTGTTCCCAAAAGGTTTCTTGGGATGGGATGATGTGCTGGCCCTTGGTGGTGTTTGCGGGGGAGCCAGGGCCCCGAAGGTGGGGCCAGCTTCCCGTTCTTACCCTGGAGGCCCAGGGGAGCCTCCCGCCAGGTCATTAGCAGAGCCAGGCTCTACCTGGGTTTCCTGCTTTTCCGCCCCACTTGCAGTACCTGTTGGTCCTACCTCAGGAGGCTGAGGGCTCCCTGTCCCCTCTTGCTGGCCAGACTGTCCCCCGATATAGCAACTGCTGTCCAGTTAGCACTAACTGGGGCTCAGACGCCAGCTTTCCGTACCACTCCCAGGAGGTGCTGGGGGATCTCAGTCCAGCCTCAGCCTTGCACCGGCCTGAAAAAGGCTGGACTGGCTCATGGGCCGGTGAAATAATCACCATCATCTCACTTTTGCCACGAGTGGGCCTTGCAGCACAGTGCTTTGCATTTGTCATTTAATCCTCAGGAAAACCCACGCAGTGGTTCTGTGGTATCACCCCCATGTCACAGATGGGGAAACTGAGGGTGAGGGTCACCGGCTTTGTAACTGCCCTGCCCCCTGCCTGTCTCCTGCCTTATCTGCTTCCACCCCCAGCCCCCTCCTTCCGGCCAGGCTGTGTCCTGTCCCTGCTGGTCCCTCCAGCCTGCTGTTTCCTGCCTCCCAGTCTGTTTGCAGTTTTCTCTGCCTGGAAATACCTCCCCCAGATCCTGAGTTTGTGTCTGAAGTAGCTCCCCACCCCACACCCCGGCACTGTGTTCCTTCGCCCTGCCTTCTCAGCCCTGGCCCTTCTCGCTGCCAGGCATTCGGGGGGTTTGCAGGTGCCTGTCTCCACCATGGGGATAGCATGGGGCATGTCGGGCAGGACTTGGTCACTTTCATCTCTGTGCCTAGAACAGTGTCTGGCACATAATAGATGTCCAGTTAGTGCATGCTGAATAAAACTGTCCTTCCTCCCAGGCCCCCAGTCCTCCCTCCATGACTGTTCACTCGAGGTTGCACCCCATACTGCGCGCTCTCGGATCGCCCCACGCTCCTGTCTTCCCAACACTTTCCAATGTTAGGAGTAGATGTTTGTTTATTTGCTTACTCTCTGCTTCCCCAACTAAACTGTGGATTCCCCAAGGGTCCTCATTGTATTCTCTGATCCCAGCTGGTGTCTCGCTCCTGATGGAGCTTAGTGAGCACGTGAATGAATGGGTGAGTGCACAGTGAAGCAGAAGAGCAGAGGCTGGAGCCAAGTTCTCCCATATTCAGGCCCAGGCTCTTGGCATTGTGCCGCCTCCTCGTTTCAAATTGCGAGTCTGAAAGGAGCTCCTGGATACAGCTCAAGACCAGGCAAAGGTGCCCAGGGTGGTCAGAGGTTGTCACAGTGCTGCAGCTTCTTGGGATGAATTGTCCAGAGGCAGCCATCAGCTCGCAGGGGACACCCCTCATCAATTCCATTCCGGGAGTTTCAAATGGAGCATCCCGGGTTCTCTCCAAGTTTGTTTCATTCTGAATCTAGTTTTCAGTCAAGATGAAACTTCGCCCCAGAAGGCAGGAGCCCTGGAGAAAATTTCTCTTGGTATCCCTGAATTCTTCTCTTGCGGTGGGTGTGTGACGAAAGACTGATAGTGTTGGAGGGCATGTAAAGATGCATCTTATTGGCTGGGCCTGGTGCCTCACGCCTGTAATCCTAGCATTTTGGGAGGCCAAGGCAGGAGGATTGCTTGAACCCAGGGTTTGAGACCAGCCTGGGCAACATAGAGACTCCATCTCTACAAAAAAATACAAAAATGAGCTGGGTGTGGTGGCATGCAGCTGTAGTCCCAGCTACTTAGGATGCTGAGGTGGGAGGATTGCTTGAGCCTGGGAGGTTGAGGCTGCAGTGAGCCATGACTGCACCACTACACTCCAGCTTGGGTGACAGGGTGAGACCCTGTCATGAAAAAAAAAAAAAGTATTCATTTATTTTTGCTAGTCCTGCAAATAATACACGTTTATCATAGCAAAGTTGTGGAAGTCTCACCGCCCACAGACAGCCATTTAAGTAGTGTGGTATTTCCTCCAAGTCAGTTCAGTGTGTATTTTTGCCCTTTTTGGGGTGAGAGGGGCATAATTCTGACCAGACAATATAGTCAACTGTATATCACCCTTCTCCCCACTTAACCTTATACAGTAATATAAATAGTAATCAATAAAGTCAGGTGCAGTGGCTCACGCCTATAATCCCAGCCCTTTGGAAGGCCAAGGCGGGTGGATCTCCTGAGGTTAGGAGTTCGAGACCAGCCTGGGCAACATGGTGAAACCCCATCTCTACTAAAAATACAAAGATTTGCCAGGCATGGTGGCGCATGCCTATAATCCCAGCTACTCGGGGAGCTGAGGCATGAGAATCGCTTGAACCCGGGAGACAGAGGTTGCAGTCAGCCAAGATTGCGCCATTGCACTCTAGCCTGGGTGACAGAGCAAGACTCCATCTCAAAAATAAATAAATAAATAAAAACAAATAGTAATCAATAAATACCGCCCAGGTTGGAGCACAGTGGCACAGTCCTGGCTCACTGCAGCCTCTGCCTCCTGGGTTCAAGCGATTCTCTCACCTCAGCCTCCCAAGTAATTTGGACTATAGGCACATGCCACCACACCTGGCTAATTATTTTTTTTTGAGACAGTCTCGCTCTATTGCCTGGGCTAGAGTGCAGTGGTGCGATCGCGGCTCACTGCAGCCTCCACCTCCTAGGTACAAGCGATTCTTGTGCCTCACCCTCCCAAGTATCTGGGATTACAGGTGCACACCACCACACCTGGCTAATTTTTGTATTTTTACTAGAGACTGGGTTTTGCCATGTTGCACAGGCTGATCTCAAACTCCTGGCCTCAAGTGATCTGCCTGTTTCGGCCTCCCAAAGTGTTGGGATTACAGGTGTGAGCCACGCTGCCTGGGTGCAGCAGGACGTGGCGGGGAGCCTGGCCTCCATTTTTCTCAATCTATATAAAAAGTTTTAAAATCACTTCCTGATAACCAAGCAATTACGGTTGTTTTTAGTATGTCACTATTATAATTTTATAATGGCACTGTTATTATAATGGGATTTTGATTAACATCATTATGCATTTTTTTTTTTAATTTAAGACTGTTTCATTAGGGCAGAGTCTTAGATTTGGAATTATTGGATTAAAATGGTATGGATATTTTAAAGGTTCTTGCTGTTTATTGCCAGGTTGCTTTCCTGAAGGCTCTTGCCAGTGCAGGCTCTCGTTAGTAGAAAGTGTTCATCTCAGTACTTCCTCACAGCAGCAGATATTCATATAAATACATATATTATTATTATTATTATTATTTTTGAGACGGAGTCTCGCTTTGTTGCCCAGGCTGGAGTTCAGTGGCTGGATCTCAGCTCACTGCAAGCTCTGCCTCCCGGGTTTACGCCATTCTCCTGCTTCAGCCTCCCGAGTAGCTGGGACTACAGGCGCCCGCCACCTCGCCCGGCTAGTTTTTTGTATTTTTTAGTAGAGACGGGGTTTCACCGTGTTAGCCAGGATGGTCTCGATCTCCTGACCTTGTGATCCGCCCGTCTCGGCCTCCCAAAGTGCTGGGATTACAGGCTTGAGCCACCGTGCCCGGCCTATTCTCATATTTTTAATGCTCTCTAATTTGCTAGATAGAAAATGGCATCTGTTAGTCGACTTGGAATGTGTATCCCTGAGTCCACCTCCCCGGCTTTTACCCCAGGGCTGTGGGTAGAGGAATGTCCGTGTAAAACGCTATCTGAGATTTTGTCTTGCAGCTGACTTCGGTGTGTCTGCCAAGAATCTGAAGACTCTACAGAAACGAGATTCCTTCATCGGCACTCCTTACTGGTGAGTCGTGTAGCTTCTAGAAATGGAATGAACTGGACGTTAAAACTCTCCAAGGTGACCACTAGGCGCTGTAGACAGAGAGGGGCCGGGAGACAAGAGCTGCCAGGTCAGCCTGTGGGCGCAGGCCCAGCCCCATGGCTTACTAGCCATGTGACCTTGGACGAGCTGCTTAGTTTTCCCGTGCCTCAGTTTCTTCATCCATAAAATTAGGGATATAATAGCCCCTACTTAATAAGCCTACTGTGAGAATGAAATGAAATGGTGCACATAGAAGGCACTCCATTGATAACTGAACTAGAATCTCTGAAACAGGATTCAGTTCGTAATTTATTCACCACGTGTGTATTGAGGGCCGGGGATGCGGGCCGTGAAGGTGAACAGTACAAGTTCGGTTCCTACCCTCATGTGAAGTCTTCCTGGACTTCTCTAGTCTGTCGTGTTTCCTTCTTTTCCAGAACTATTACTTTAAAAACAAAACACTGTCACTCAATTTCACGCCTGACTACTCTCTGTTTGCCTTGTTTTCAGTTTTTTCATGTGCATTACTTGCCATTGTGGAGTTTGGGCTCCTTTCTTGCTTGCTTGTTACTCACCCTTGCTCTCTCTCTCCCCCCTTTTATACCTGTTTCTCCTTCTCTCTGTGCTGTTGTCTTCTCGCCCACCCACCTCCACGCCCTGGTTTTTTGCTCCGCACCTTCCCTCCACCCCCACCCGACCCCTCCCCAGGACTCTGTGTTCCGGGTTGCTGCTGCCATCTCGTGGTAGGCATCGGAACTGCAGCAGGACGTGGCGGGGAGCCGCGTGGAGGCGTTTTTCTGTGGAAGAGCGTCCTAAGGAAGACAGTGGGATGCAAAGTCATGCAGATCATGATTCGGGAGTGCTGCCAACCCCCGACAGTGGCTCGTGGTGGCCCTTGACCCTGAATGTCCAAGAAGCACCTGTGGAGGCCAGATTCTTAGCCCTATGTTGTCCCTTGATTGGTTCAGGATGGCCCCCGAGGTGGTCATGTGTGAGACCATGAAGGACACACCGTACGACTACAAAGCCGACATCTGGTCCCTGGGCATCACGCTGATTGAGATGGCCCAGATCGAGCCGCCACACCACGAGCTCAACCCCATGCGGGTCCTGCTAAAGATCGCCAAGTCGGACCCTCCCACGCTGCTCACGCCCTCTAAGTGGTGAGGAGCAGGGGCAGGGCCACCTGCCGGGGTGCCTGCGCCGGTTAGGGCTGGGATATGTGGTGGGCGGGGCTGGGGAGGTGCAGCGGTAGGGTTCTCCTGGTGCTGCTAGCCGCAAGAGGAGACTGGGGCCTGGGGGTCTTCCGGCCTTTCTGAGTCCCCCCGGGCCCTTCGTGCCTCTTTTTCCCTTTGTGTTCCTTTTTTTTTTTTTTTTTTTTTTTTTTTTGAGATAGGGCCTCACTCTTTTGCTCAGACTGGAGTACAGTGGTGCAGTCATAGCTCACTGCAACCTCGACCTCCTAGGCTCCAGAGATCCTCGCATCTCAGCCTCCCTTGTAGCTGGGACTACAGGCACCCACCACTATGCCTGGCTAATTTTCTGTAGAGACAAGGTCTCCTATGTTGCCCAGGCTGGTCTTGAATTCCTGGCCTTAAAGGGATCCGTCTGCCTTGGCCTCCCAAAGTGCTGGGATTACAAGCGTGAGCTACCGAGCCCCCTCTGTGCTCTTGACATGAGATCTTCACCAGCACAAACCAAGTCACCCAAATAAGCCAGCTCCCACTGGGAGAATAGGAGCCCCAGCTGAGGCGTAGGAGCCACATGGCACAACCCTGGGCGGGACATCGGGGGCCTGGGTTCAAATCCCGGACCTGCTGAGTCTCCTCACTGCGCGGCCTGGGCAAGTCCCTGCTCCCCTCTGATTTCTGGGTCCCCATCTGGACAGGGATGTCCATGATGAAAAGGGCGTCGTGTAGGCCCTTTTGCTGTTCTAGCTTGTGAAAGTTCCCTCTGTCGTTTGAGGGGGTGATTGGGACAGTGGAGTCTGTGACGTTTGGGACTTCTCTCTGCTCTGGCCTCCTCCGTGCTTATCTCTGATGCTTGTCCTCCCAGGTCTGTAGAGTTCCGTGACTTCCTGAAGATAGCGCTGGATAAGAACCCAGAAACGCGGCCCAGCGCGGCGCAGCTGCTGGAGGTGAGTGGATGCCCCTCCCACTCCGCGCTCTGAAGGGCGGAGCCCAATGAACTCACCAGTGACCTGGATGCTGGGCGTGTTCTCACCCCGCCCAGGGGACAGCATGGACAGCTGTGCGTCCCTCAGCCGGTATTCCCCAGGCACCTCCTGAATGCCAGCTCTGTGTTGGGAGTGCCTTGGGGAACGAAGCCACCCAGAACCTGTCCTCATGGAGCGTGTGCTCCAGTGGGGAGACAGGCGGCAAATAAGCAAGTATGTGCGCATGGCAGAGGGTGGTCAGTGCCACGGAAGGAGGTCCACAGTGCGGGGTGGGGCGCCTGGGAACGGCTGTTGTCTTGTAAGAGAGGATAAGGAAGGGCTCTCCAGGTGAGCAGATGCCCACAGGAAGGGAAGGAGTGAGGCCAGTGGCCCAGAGAGAGAGGAGGCAAAGGCCTGGGACTGCAGCATGTTCCGCACATGCTGGGAAGAGCCAGGGGGTGGGGGGGGGGAGGTGGGGGAGCAGGAGCACAGGGGCCAGGGGAGGGGAGGGGAGAGAAGGGGAGATGAGAGCGGAGAGGCCCTGGGGCGTCCGCCCCAAGGCTCAGTGGTTCCCTAGGAGAACACCTGGCCTCAGCATATTCTCTCCCTCCGGAGACTTAGGACAGCAAAAGCACAGCGAGAACTCAGCCCAAGGAGGAGGCGCGTGTGAAAAGGTCTCGGGAGCCAGGTGCAAGCTTCCAGGGCCCTCTCCCAGTACAGTCACCAGAACAGCTTAATTCTCTGTGCTGTCCACCAGGGAAGCCCCTTAGGACTTTTACTGGGTAGTGGTCACATAGGCACGCCCTGCCTGGCACAGACCAAAGTTCCAGACTCTAGAAGGAAAACAGGTATTCAACCTAAGCCATATTGTTTGCAGAACGGTTTAGGCAGAGCGGGCCACTCTTACCAGTTAATGGTGGGAGCCCTCGCCTAGTCTGCAGAGACCAGCTGAGGATTCAACCTTGTTAGCGGCCCTTTCTGAAGCTCGCGGTGCTATTTTCTACACACAGGGTCCTGCAGGGCCTTGCAAGCCAGAGCCAGGTCTTGGGCTTTATCTCTGCATTCGGGGAGACACAGTATCCAACCTCCATTTACAAGGGTCCTTCTGCCTTCTGGCTGCTGTGTGCAGGATCAGGAGACTCTGAGCATCTCATTAGTTGGCAGTATTAGAGTGGGCAGGTGGATGATGGTTCCCTGGAAGCTTTTTGAACTGTTGGAGGGAGCTGTGAGCCACCCTTTGCCTGGGCCTCCTGTTAGGGTGTCATGGCTGGCAGCTGGGTGAGGTCGGTGTGTTCACAGCAGTGTTCTGAAGGCTGCGCACAGCACTTGCCCAGCCGTCTGCAAATCTGCCGACCACTATCCACATGTCACTGCCACTGATGGAAGAGGGAGGAATGGGTCTGGGTGATGCAACAGGTCTGCCCTTTCACTGCTCTGTCTGCTCCGGCTCTACCCCCAGCATGACAGTCTTAGAGGTGAGGTGGCAGGAAGGGGAGGAAGGGGCCACACCAGGCACTTGAGTCTTTATATTCACCCAGCTTTTCCCAGCTTCCTCCTGTGTGCCGTGCACGGGGCCTGTGGTCGGCATTCTGAGCCACTATGTGTCCTTCTGGGGTAGCAGCTTAGTTACTATGAGTGTGAGCTGCGGCAGGAAAGTCCAGGGTTCGAATCCCAGCTCTGCCACTTACTGGCTGTGAGCCCCTGGGCGAACGGCTGAACCTCTCTGTGACTCGCTTGTCAGTCTGAAATGGGAGTGAAGGGCAGCAGTGCCCTTACTGGGTGGTTGTGAGGATTAGATGAAGAGGTGCTATGAAGCGCTTAGCCTAACTCTCAAGCACAGTGCTCAAGGAACGCTTGATGCATAGGACCGATGTATTTATTTTTTAAAAAATGAAAGGAACCAGAATGCAAAATGGGGTCTGTCTACTGCCGGGGGTGGGGGGTCACAGCTGTTCCTTTTACATTTCTATAATGTGTTTGAAAGCAAATTTCTGGAGTGCCCAAAGGCCTCATTTTCTGGGTATTGTGGGGAGTGGGCTGGGGCCCCCTGAAGTGGGTGGGATTGAGTGGGGCTGTTGTCACTGTCCAAGCTGCTTGGGGCCAATTGTTTCCTGTAAGAGGCACCTCCTGCCCTGATGCATCCGGCTTCCAGGACATTCCACGGAGAGACCAGCTGTCCCCCATCCCCGCATGGCAGCTCCGGAGCTGCAGCCTCAGCCAGGAATTTCCGCTCCGTACTTGGAAAAATGTCCTGCCAGGGGATTCTTGCCGTCCAACAGAAAGGGTTGCGGAACACAGGGACGATCTCTGGAGATGAATAAAGCGCGTTTCATGCCTGCTGCGCTGCTGCTGCTTCACCCACGCGCCTTTTCCTCTCCAGTGAGAGAGGGTGGGCATGGTGTTACCCCCTCAGGGGAGGGCACCAGGATCAGAGCAGGGAGGTGACCGGCCCAAGGCCGCTTGGCTTTGAGTGACAGAGGTGGGCCCGGCTCTTGGCTTCCCAGGCCCCTACTCCAGTGCTGTCAGCCTTCAGGGTGCCTGCCTGCTCCAAGAAGCGCCAGGCCCTCGCGTCTCCCTGTGTCCGCCCTGGGCGGGGTGATTCACGCCCCCACTGGTTTGTGATTCATTCATTGACTCCTGCAGACATTCTGTGGGCCCGGACCCAGTTGTGGGTAGTAACCAGGCTCTGAAATCAGACACACCACCCCCCTCCCCGCCCCAGCATCTGCATGGTTCTCACTCTGTGCCTCAGTTTCCTCATCTGTAAGATGTAGAGAGTGCTGGCTGCACAGAATTGGGTGAGTGAATGAGATTTTGTATGGAACATTGTTAACAACACAGCTGTCACATACGAGATGCTGAGTAGATACTGGCTGAATTTGCTCTTAAACCCGTCCACTCTGTCACAGCTGCTCTTGTCAAGGTCATCAGAGATTTCTGTGCCATGGGTCAGCCTCGGTGTTTGTCTCACTGGACCCATCAACGGCACCAGCCCAGTCGATCTCCTCCTCCTCCTCCTGTCGGCACTCGACCTCCAGACCTCCACACACCCTTGGTCATCAGCCTCTCCTTCTCCGTTGCCTTTGCTCGCCCCACTTTGGCCCATCTTGTTAGCATGAGAGTGCACAGGGCCCTCCCTCCATCTCCACGTGCCCAGCGTGCAGCACTCCCAGCCTCGGCCCGCGTCCAGCTGTTTACTCCCCAGATGTCCAGCGGGCATCTCACACGAACTCTGAGCACTTGGATCTTTTTGCCGACGTGCTCCACCACTGGCTTTCCCATCTTAGCCGATGGCAGCTCCACCCTTCCAGTGGCTCAGGCCCCAAACCATGCAGGCACCCTTGCTTCTCTTTCCTCCACACTCCTAGCCCACCTATCAGGAAATCCTGTTGTCCCTGCCCTCAGCACATGTCTAGACTTCAACCATTTCCCGCCCTTCCACTGCAGCCACTACCTGGGCTGCCACCACCTCTCACTCGAGCTGCTGCCTCCACGCTGGTCCCCTGCCCTCTCCGTTGGGTCTGGGCTGAGCACAGCAGCCAGAGGGAACCTTCTCAACAGAGGCCAGCTCATGTCCTGCCCTGGCCGAAGCTCCCCAGTGGCTGCCATTTCACTCTAGGGAAAACCCAGAGTCTCAGGGCCGTTAGAGTGCTGTGTGATCCGCCCGCCCACCCTTCTGACCCCCTCGCCTCTCTCGCTCCCACACTCCAGCCTCACTCTGCTCCAGCCTGCCCAGCCCCCTTGCTGTGCTCCAAACACAGCAGGCATGTTCCTGCCTCAGGGCCTTGGCACTGGCTGTCCGTGCTGCCCGGAATGGCCTTCCTCCGGATCCCTCTGTGACTCACTCTCCTCTTCAAGTCATTGCTCTAATGTCAGCCTTGTGCTGAGGCCTCCCCCAACCACCCACATGAAATTGTGAACCCACTACACTCCCCACATTCCCGGTCCTCTTTCCCTGCCCTACTTCTTCCTTCTTCCATGGCCCATGGCACTCAGGATGTTACTCGCTTATTAGGTTTGTTGTCAAACTCCTCGCTTAGCATGTCAGCGCTCCGAGGTCAGCATCTTTGTTTCGTTCACCGATAGGTCCCAGGAACAGTGCCTGGTATGTAGAGAGCCCTCAGCAAATATTTGCTAAATAAATTGACTTTTTTTTTTTTTTTTTTGAGACGGAGTCTCACTGTGTCTCCAGGCTGAAGTTCAGTGGAGGTATCTCAGCTCACTGCAACCTCCACCCCCTGGGTTCAAGTGATTCTCCTGTCTCAGCCTCCCAAGTAGTTGGGATTGCAGGCATGCGCCACCACGCCTGGGTAATTTTTGTGTTTTTAGTAGAGATGGGGCTTCGCCATGTTGGCCAGGCTGGTCTCAAACTCCTGACCTGAGGAGATCTGCCTGCCTCGGCCTCCCAAAGTGTTGGGATTACACGTGTGAGCCACCACGCCTGGCCAAAATTGACTTATTTTTACCTAACAAATGGTTACATAACCCTTTCTCCAGAGATGGTGATGGTGATGGGGACGATGGTGGTGATGACAGTGATGGTGATGATGGTGGTGATGGTAGTGGTGATGGTGGTGAAGGTGATGATGGTGGTAGTACCTCCATGCCAGGTACTACTCTAAGTACTTAGCAAATGTCACCTAATTTAATCCTCATACCAACGCTCTGAAGTAGGTGCTGTTCAGTTCTCCATTGAGCCGATGGTAAAACTGAGGCACACAGCGGTGAAGTAGCCTACACAAGGTCACATAGCCTGTAAGCCACAGAGCTGGGTTCTGAACCTGGTCCTCGGGTTCAAGAGTCTGTGCTCTTGACCTCTCTGGCAAGCTGCCTCTCCGAATGAATGAAAGAGCGAGAGGGAGAGAGGGAGACCAGAAGAGAGGGAGAGAGGATTCAAAGAGATGCCAGTGCCTGGAAACTGTGAGCATTATTAGGTGTTTTTATTTTTTTAATTTTTTTTAAATGGAGTCTCGCTGTGTTGCCAGACTGGAGTGCAGTGGCCTGATCTCGGTTCGCTGCAATCTCCGCCTCTTGGGTTCAAGCGATTCTCCTGCTTCAGCCTCCCGAGTAGCTGGGATTACAGGCGCCCGCCACCACGCCTGGCTAATTTTTGTATTTTTAGTAGAGATGGGGTTTCGCCATGTTGGCCAGGGTGGTCTCGAACTCCTGACCTCAAGTGATCCGCCCACCTTGGCCCCCCAAAGTGCTGGTGTGAGCCACCATGCCCGGCCTATTGAGCGTTTTTTAAAGCCCATCTTGGAGTATAGGACCCCTCTGGCTGACGGTTTCTAAGCACATAGAGGAAAAGTAGGCTCCAGTTCTTGGAAAGAATGTCTGTTTAGATGGCAGGGGAGGCCCTGGCTAGAGGGCAGGTGCTGGTTGGTGAGCTGTGTGACGCCACCTGTTTTGGCCTTTTTCAGCAAAGATGGCACTGAACAGCCAGCCAGTGCCTCTTACTGGAGGACTGGGTGGTCAAGTTCCTCTGTCATCTAGCCTTCCACTGGGGAAACGTGTGCCCAGACCAGCCTACCTGGTGTAGGCTAGCATTCTCCCTTGCAGCATAGCCAGGGCGTTCTCTCTTTAATGGGCCTTTAAACACATCTCTGGAGGCGGAGCTGATGGAGTGTCGGAGGTGGTCTGTGTTTTGTGTCCCAGAGCAGTCTGTAAAACAGTGTTTGGACCTAATTAGCCACAGGACTGGTGGCCCTGTGTGCCAGCCTTGCTTGCTCTGGTGCCCGCAGAACTGCCCTGCTCACCTGCCTATCACAGGCTTTCTTCCCCATGCCCCCCTTCCTCCTAAGGACGCTGGGGTGGTCGGGGAAGGCAGTGGAGCAGATGGTTCTGCCTCAAGAAAGCGGAGTTCCTGGCCGTGCTGAAAAGCCACTGATTTGATAAATACCTGGGGTGCCCCGATGAAAAGCTGGTGTTTCCAGAAGCCCGTGAATGCATTTGTTTATTTCTGCCGCATCTGCTTCAGCCACTGCGGTGAAGTGTCCCGTGGCATTTCGCTCAAGTTCACTTGTATTAGATTGTGCAATGTGGAGCTTAGGAACCTTTGAGATCTTGGTTCTCACCTTTGGTTCCAAAGAGCTGTACTCTGGGGGCATTTGGGAGGGAATAGGAGTGACTAGGAATGCAAACCAGGCTTTTCTTTTTTTGTTGTTTTTGAGACAGTCTCCCTCTGTCACCCGGGCTGAAGTGCAGTGGCATGATCTTGGTTCACTGTAACCTCTGCCTCCTGGGTTCAAGCAATTCTTCTGCCTCAGCCTCCTAAGTAGCTGGGATTATAGGCATGTGCCGCCACGCCCGGCTAATTTTTGTTATTTTTCGTAGAGACTGGGTTTCACCATGTTGACCAGGCTGATCTTGAACTCCTGACCTCAGGTGATCCACCGCCTTGGCCTCCCGAAGTGCTGGGATTACAGGTGTGAGCCACCGCACCCAGCCATAACAGGCTTTTCTGATTGTGCTGGTGCTCCTGCTGCTGATGGGGGTGATGGTGGTGATGGTAATGGTCATGGTGATGGTGATGATAGTGGTGATGGGGGTGATGGTGATGGTGATGGGGATGATGGTGGTGATGATGGTAGTGATGGTAGTGGTGATGGTGGTGAAGGAAGATGATGGTGATGATGATGGCTGCCATATCTGAGCATTTACCATAATGCTTATAACAGCTGCTCCTAGTATATAGTTGAGCAAACTGAGACTCAAGGTTAAGTGACTTGCCCCAGTTGGCGGAGGCTGGATTTTACCAGGTGCCTTGGTTCTAGCGTCTATAGCCAGCACTCTTAACTTCTATGCTACTCTGCCTCCCATGATTAGTAAACCCTTAATGCCCCACTCAAGAACTCTTAAAAGTACAGAGCAGCCAGAATGACATCTTTAAAGGGTGGTAGTATCACTGCTGCACTGCAGCCTGCTGGTGGCTTGTGAGGACAGTCTCTGTGGTTCACCTGTATACACGCCCCATCATTCCTCTGCGTCCTGTGTCCCACCATCCCGCCTGTCTTGTGGCTCCTGCCGCCAAGCTCAGTCCAGTCTCTGGGCCTTCTTTGTACCAGCTGCTCCCTCTGCCTGGAATTCTCTGTGCCCAGATCTTTCCCTGGGGAACCCCTTCATGTCCCTTGAATTCGACTTTGAATGAGGCCCCTCTGCCTGCAGACTTTGGTCTCCACCAGCCTCAGCTATACAAGATCTGGAAGTCTCTGGTTTATCATTTGAGTCCCCGCGCCCGGCCAATTGAACTGTTTTAAATGAACAAACAGATAAGAATGATTTGTGATGAACATATCTTTCTGAATGTGCTTTCCAGGTGCTAGAAATTTGTTTTTTAGTCATTTAAATACTTCCCCAGCAATCTTGTTGACACTTCCTCCCCGGATAAATTTTCTGAGAGTAAAAACAGTGAATTTCTTGAGAGCCTTCCTGTAAATTGTAAATGAGCAAATTCTAGCTTCATCATGCCCCCCACCCCACCCCATCACTCCTTTCCCAGTGGCCCTGGGTGAGCATGGTGGGTTGAGGAATCCCACATCCCTGGCTACACCCGGGTGCCTTCACCCACGATACCTCACACTGACTTAATATCGCTAAGACCTTTTGCTTTGGTGTTTTGCAAGGTCCGTAAAAGAACATTCACTTTTAAAGACTCTGACATTTCTCTAAAAACCTAGAATAGAACATACACCACTCTGCCTCAAGATCTTGTATTTCCTTTCTTAAAACCAAACACATATGTCCACCCAAAGACATATACGAGAATGTCTCTAGCAGCTTTATTCATAGTTGCCAAAAATGGGAAACAGCCCAGATGTCCGGCAGCAGTAGGATGAATAAACAAACTGCCATATTCGTACAGTGAGACCCTGCACAGAAATAAAACAGGAACAGTTTACCGAAATAGATGACAATGTAGGTGAATCTCACAGTCATGACGCCGAGTAAAGGAAGCCAACGCGAAAGACTGCACACACGATGCTCTGATTCTAGGAAGCTGAGGAGCAGGCTCCCGAGGCTGGCGGCGTGGGAGTGGGGTTGCCTGCCAAGGGAGACGGGAGCCTTCCCCAGTGATGGAAATGTTCTGTATCTTGAGCTGGGTGGCAGTTACGCTGGGTGCATATATATGTAAAAAGTCATTGAGGCTGGGCATGGTGGCTCACGCCTGTAATCCCAGCACTTTGGGAGGCTGAGGTGGGTGGATCACTTAAGGTCAGGAGTTTGAGACCAGCCTGGCCAACATGGTGAAACCCCACCTCTACTGAATATACAAAAAATTGGCCTGGCATGGTGGTGCATGCCTGTAATCCCAGCTACTTGGGAGGCTGAGGCAGGAGAATCCCTTGAACCTGGTCGATGGAGTTTGCAGTGAGCCGAGATTGCACCACTGCACTCCAGCCTGGGCAACAAGAGTGAAACTCTGTCTCAAAAAAAAAAAAAGTCATTGAGGTTTACAACCTGTGAACTTTGCTGTAGGAATGTTATTCCTCAACAAAATGTATGTAGCATATTTTGTAAAACTATATATTAAAACCATTTAAAAAGGAAAATAGACACCCTCCCTGCAAACACGGCTTGAGCTCCTACTTTGGGCTAAGCATTTTCAAGTGCATGATCTCATTTAATCCGCATGACCTCCCTGTGGGTTCCTTGTTATCGTGTCCACTTGAGAGATGAGGAGCCTGTGGCTCAGAGAGGTTAAGTGACATGCTCAAGGTCACATAGCCACTGAGAAACAGAGCTGGGATCTGCCCTTTTTCCGACACACTTGGGACTTTCCAGGCTGTCTCTGGGTCTCCAAGTTCATGTGTACATTTTGCTCAGGAATGAGGCTGGCCTTTTCTGCCCTGGGGGGTAAGCTCCCCCAGCCTCTTCCACCCCACCCTGACCCCAGAGTGGTTCTAATCTAGGTACATTTTGTCCCCTCAGCATCCCTTTGTCAGCAGCATCACCAGTAACAAGGCTCTGCGGGAGCTGGTGGCCGAGGCCAAGGCCGAGGTGATGGAAGAGATTGAAGACGGCCGGGATGAGGGGGAAGAGGAGGACCCCGTGGATGCCACCTCCGTAAGGCCGGGGAGAGTGGGGCTTAGCGGGGGCTGGGAGGATGGGATCTCAGCTGGCCCTGCTGGTGTGGGAGGGGCAGGGAAAGCCGGGACTCTGGCTCAGGCAATTTCTTCCCAGCTCAGAGGTTGCAGACGCCCATGCTGCAGGTAACGTAAGTTGGCCTGTGGGCCGGGGGCGGGGGGTTGGCGGCAGAGGGTGTTGGCCGGATCCTGATCCTGTGAGTTTTCAGGAGATACCAGGGATCTAGATTTTCACATGAAATCTTCCAATTTTTAAGAGTTGGTAACTGATTCATGGCTTCCCATCCTTTGTTCCCGTCACGGCTCACATCCCAAATGAGACTGTTTTTAGCTCACTTTGGGATAAATACGTGAGGCTGCATATGGCCACAGGCAGCACCCTGGCCCCCCTCTAGCTGTGCTCGGTGCCAAGGGAACCCATGTCTGGGCACATTTGGAACACTTTTGCAGCTTCAGTGCTTGCTGGATTTAGATTGAAATTAAAGCTGATTTAAATTTCTAAAAACCCTCTGAGCCAAGGAAAACATGTCTGTGGGCTGGATTCTGGCCCGAGCTGTTGCTCTGTAGTCCCTGGTCTTGCTGCTGGGGGAGGCCTCTTCCCAGGGATAGGGTGGCCGTCCCGATGGCTCCCTGTACCTAGAGAAGCAAGGGCTGGACTTACCCATCACGGGATGGAGCTGGCCCACATCTTTGTGCTGTGGATGGCACTCCGGCTCTCTCAGATTTAATTCAGTCCTGGGTGAAGCCTGAGGCTGGCGCAGACCCTCACCAGGGTGAAGAAGGAAAGGCCTGAGGGGCGGGGCAAGCAGAATCATCACAACCACCCCAGCCATGCATGGAGCCCCTGGTGGCTGCCGGGCACTCTACAGCTCTGATACAGGGTAACCAAGCTCCGTTTTACAGACAGGAAAACTGAGATCGATGCAGTGAAGTGGCTGGCTGAGCCGATAGATGACAGGGCCAGGGGTGTATGTGGAGTAGGAGAACCTCAGTGGGGCCTGGCTCCAGGAGGAGGCAGGAAGCGCTCTCGCCCAGCCCCATTGTCTACCGGCAGGAGGCTGATCTTTGTCCTGAGGGTAGTGGGAGCCCTGAAGGCTTTCAGGCAGGGACTGGGTACTCTGGAGGTGACAGAATCAGATCTGAGTTTTTGAGCCATCACTGTGGGTGCTGACCAGAAGGTAGATTGGAGTTGCTTCCACCAGCTGCCATAGCTGAGGTTAAAAACCAGTGGCTGGCAAGACCCAAAGGAATGCTTATAGTATAAATCCATTCATACCACGTTTAGAAGCAGGCACAGCTCACCCGTAGCACTTAAGAGACCACAGAAGAGTGACTACGTCAAGAGGTGGGAGAGCATTGCCACTGAGAAGGACGGGGTGGCAGGGGATGGCCCTCTGGGGCAAAGCAGTGGTCCCCTCCTGACCTGGAAAGTGGCTACATGGATACTCACTCTGTTCACCAAGTTGGACGTTTATGTTTTATACACAGGAAGGATGTTCTGTTTCACCATAGCATAGCAACATTTCCAGTACTTTCCACCCAACAAAGACTCTAAAACACAAAAATGAAGCTGAAAACTTAGTGGCCACAAGGGCTGAATCCAGTCCCCAGACAGGCTTGGCTTGGCCTTTATGTGACTTTTTAAAAAATATGAGTTAGTTGCCACCTAAAAGTTAAGAGATGTCCATTAAAAACCTAGATTTCAAACTTGTCTTTAAAAATCGGAAGGTTTTGCTGGGTGCGGTGGCTCACACCTGTAATCCCAGCACTTTGGGAGACCGAGGCAGGCAGATCACTTGAGTCCAGGAGTTTGAGACCAGCCTGGGTGACATATCGAAACCCTGTCTCTACTAAAAAATGCAAATATTGGCTGGGTGTGGTGGCATGCACCTGTAGTCCCAGCTACTCAGGAGGCTCCTCAGGAGGCTGAGGTGGGAGGACCACTCCCAGGTGGGAGCCTGGGAGGCAGAGGTTGCATTGAGCCAAAATGGCTCCACTACACTCCAGCCTGGGTGACAGAGCAAGACCCTGTCTCAAAAAAATAGATAAATAAAATTAAAACATTAAGATTTAAAAACTGGGAAGGTTTGGGCACAGGGGAGCCGTTTTCCCACATTATCACAATTGGCTGGAATGGAGTGGCCACTGACCCCTCCCTTTGGGCCATGAGCTGGCCAGCTGGCCACAGCTGCCTCCTAGGAGGAATAACAGCTATTACATTCGGCTAAGATTAGAGATAGTGAGGAGATTGCTATGCCTCAAAATAAATAGTAATTTTTTATGGTTAGGCAGTAGGGAGAGATGAAGACCGTGGCTCGGGAGATGTCTGCTCTCCTTTCTTGGCCCTGGCCCACTTCATCTTGAGGGTGTCTGACTCTCTCCATTGCATCTCTGACTCTTGCCTTGAACATACAGCAGCATGGCCTTGACTATCTTTTTTTTTTTCCCTAGACTCTGGAGAACCATACTCAGAACTCCTCTGAGGTGAGTCCGCCAAGCCTCAATGCTGACAAGCCTCTCACGGAGCCATCTTCCACCCCGCTGGCACCCAGCCAGTCTCAGGACAGTGTGAATGAGCCCTGCAGCCAGCCCGCTGGGGACGAATCCCCCCAAACCACCAGCGCCCCAGTCGTGGCCCCTGGAAATGAGAACGGCCTAGCAGTGCCTGTGCCCCTGCGGAAGTCCCGACCTGTGTCAATGGATGCCAGAATTCAGGTAGCCCAGGAGAAGCAGGTTGCTGAGCAGGGTGGGGACCTCAGCCCAGCAGCCAACAGATCTCAAAAGACCAGCCAGAGCCGGCCCAACAGCAGCGCCCTGGAGACCTTGGGTGGGGAGAAGCTGGCCAATGGCAGCCTGGAGCCCCCTGCCCAGGCAGCTCCAGGCCCTTCCAAGAGGGACTCGGACTGCAGCAGCCTCTGCACCTCTGAGAGCATGGACTACGGCACCAATCTCTCCGCCGACCTGTCGCTGAACAAAGAGATGGGCTCTCTGTCCATCAAGGTAACGCCGCCTCTCCCACCACGGGCTTGCAGCGAGCCCATTGCGGGATGTTCTGCAGCTCCATTTTGCTTTCAAAAGCGTTTAGGGGCTTCCTTGCATTTTAAGCGGTTCATTAGGGAGTTTTGGTTTGACTCATAGTTTAATCTCCAGAATATCTGGGTTCAGTGTGGGATTTAGGAACGTCAAGCAGTTGGTTTGGGTTTAAATTTCAAAGCTTGGTAAAATGCCCTGGTGAAATTTGGGAGCGAGAACTCAGGCCTTAGCTACAAATGAATTTCTGTCATCGGGAGGTCAACCACGAGACCCAGCTGGTAACTGGTAAATCCAACTAAAGAAGCAGCTCAAAGCTGTCTTCCCTGCCTCCGGGGCCTTTCTGGAGGTGGGCAGTGTTGTGAATGACAATAGCCACCGCACTAGAGGCCTGGGCGGGAGGCGAACCCTGTACAAGTGCTTTAGAAAGAACAGACAGCCTCCTTCATCCTCTCACATTACAGATAAGCCGATGGAGGCTCAGGGAAGTGAGGAGCTAGCCCAGGGCCAGGTAGGAGTGGGAAGGTGGTCAGACCCTAGGCTCCGAACTCGAAACTCTCCCAGTGGGAGCCATGGCCTCCTTCTTCTTGGGCAGCTGGAAGGGGCTGACTCCTTTCCTGGCCTCCCCAATAAATCCCAGGGTGTTATTAAACTCACGATGGGTCACCTGACCCTCTACCCAAGGCTCATTTTAGAGGAAATACTGTATGGTTTTGTTTTTCCTTCCCAAATTTACTTGGTGAAAAACGCAGTAGAGACTCGAACGTATTTGCTAAGCAAAGGGGAGTGACAGGAGCCGCAACGGCCAGTCAGCTTTAGGCAGGGAAGGGAAGCACATTTCCAACAGGCCACGTGACAAGCATGCACAGCAGCTGTTATCTGTGAGCAGCGTCTTCCTTCGGACAGGCATCCTGCCACTTTTCCTAAAGACACTAGGTGAACAAAAGGGTTTTTTGTTTGGCTTTTTAATGAGACAGACCCACCGAGAGCAGGGGCTCCCCTGCTCTTCTCAAGGCTGTGGAGAATGTTCCTGGTTGACTGCAGTGTGTCAGGGTCCTCAGGCTGTTCTAGTGAGAGTCCCCCGCTGCGCCAGCACCCCTGGGCGTGACTAGGAGCCTGTTCCTTCAGCGATGGAGGCCCCCTGGCCAGGAGCAGTTCTCAGCAGAGGGCTGTGGCTGTGGATGCCCCTTCTTCCCCTCCGCTCTCGCTCCTGCCAGCCTCCACTTCTCACGGCTGGTCTGACCCATCCTGCCTGGGTCCTGGCACATGTGAGCTGGCCACCATAGAGAGATGAGAGGCGGGCATGCTGGGTCTATGCTGATGCTGTCCAGCTCCCCTGGGCGAGGTGCCATGAGCAGGAGACAGGGGCCCAGACTTCAGGGAACAAGAACAGTCTGCCGCTCTCGACTCAGCAGGAGTGGGGCTCAGCATCCTGCCACGCTGGTTCCTCAGTCTTCTTTCAGAGGCTGGGAGGCCCTTCGTTAGGAGGGCAGGGCTGTGCTACACCAAAAAGAGTCTTCGGGCCGGGTGCTATGGCTCTCGCCTGTAATCCCAGGACTTTGGGAGCCGAGGCGGGTGGATCACGAGGTCAGGAGTTCGAGACCAGCCTTACCAACATGGTGAAACACTGTCTCTACTAAAAATAAAAATAAAAAAATTAGCCCGGCATGGCCGGGCGCAGTGGCTCACGCCTGTAATCCCAGCACTTTGGGAGGCCAAGGTGGGCGGATCACGAGGTAAAGAGATCGAGACCATCCTGGCTGACATGGTGAAACCCTGTCTCTACTAAAAATACAAAAGTTAGCCGGGCGTGGTGGCAGGCACCTGTAGTCCCAGCTACTCAGGAGGCTGAGGCAGGAGAATTGCTTGAATCTGGGAGGCGGAGGTTACAGTGAGCCAAGGTCGCGCCACTGCAGTCCAGCCTGTCAGTAGAGTAAGACTCTGTCCCTGCCCCCCCCCAAAAAAATTAGCCAGGCGTGGTGGCGCTTGCCAGTAACGCCAGGAGGCTAAGGCAGGAGAATCGCTTGAACCCGGGAGGTGGAGGTTGCAGTGAGCTGAGACTGCGCCACTGCATTCCAGCCTGGGCAACAGAGCGAGACTCCATTTAAAAAAAGGAGCTTTTGAAACCAGCCAAGAGGCCAGAGGCAGTGGGCAGAACGGGAGGGTTATGGGGACACCTTCAGAATCAGAGCTGAGAACTTCCAGAGGGAACCACGTATTATGACACACTGACACCTCCAGGATTCCGGGTGGCACCTGCACAACCACTTGTGGCATGTGCGATTCCTCACAGTAAAAGATCACAACGATGCATAATCTCACGGTGGCTCCCAGCAGGTGGGGAGTTCAGGCCAGGTCAGCTTTGGCTACCAAACCAGTTATGAAAACAGCCTTTAATTTTTGAGCTCCTTTGGATTTTGGCACCATGCGCGAGGGTTGTGTATGGTCTGCAGTGATAACCGTTAGAAAGAAATGCCAAGCATGGAACAGGCATCGGGAGTGGGCACTGCTCTGTGGATCCACCGTGTGATCTCTCGTTGGATCTTCACAACCTCCCTAGGAGGCAAGTAGTGTGATTATCCTCCCTGAACAGGTGAGGAAGCTGAGGCTCAGACAGGACAAGAAGCTGGCCCGGAGACACAGAGCCAGTAAGTGGTGGAGTGAGGGTTAGAACGCAGCTCTTTCTGACACCATGTCCTGGATGCATGAGAGGTGCTGGCAGCAAGGTGGGGGAGGCCTCAGCACAGTGTCTGAAGACTGAGACCTGGGAAAGGCAAGGGAATAAGCTCAGACCCTCCGGCTCCTAGGTTAAGTTGAGGCAAGAGAGAAGATGGATGGCTACATCTCTCTGGGGGTGGTGCTGAAGCTGTGGGCCCAGCAGAGCTGTGGCCTCACCTGCCGTGGCAGGTGGTCCTTAGCTGCAATTCTGAGACTTGTCTAATGGTTTTCCCTGGCCAGGACCCGAAGCTGCACAAAAAAACCCTCAAGCGGACACGCAAATTTGTGGTGGATGGTGTGGAGGTGAGCATCACCACCTCCAAGATCATCAGCGAAGATGAGAAGAAGGATGAGGAGATGAGATTTCTCAGGCAAGCCTGGGAAGGGCCACCAATGGTGGTAAGAGGGTGGGGCTATGGTAAGAGGAGTGGGCATTGGCCCTTTTGGTGAGAGGGCTGTCTGTCTACAGCATGAAGTGGGGGAATCAAGGAGACAAAAGGAAACTCATTTTGCCTTAGATCCTGCACTCCCCCATCTATCCAACCATTCATCTATCTATCCACCCATCCCTTCATTTATTCACCCATCTATCTACCGGTTCACCTATCTATCTATTCATCTATCCACCCATCTGTCTACCCACTCTTCCACCCACTCACCCTTCCACCCACCCACCTATCTACCCACTCTGCTTTCCATCCATCCATCCAACTGTACACCCATTCATCTACCCATCTACTTAATCCATCCTTCCATTCATTTATCCACCCATCTATCCACCTACTCAGCTATCTGCCTGTCCATCTATCCACCCAGTTGTTCACCCATCCAGTCATCCATTCATCCATCCACCCATCCATCCATCCATTCATCCATCCATCCAGTCATCCACTCATTCATCTACCCACTCACTCACCTTCCATTTATCCATCTAACCATCCACCTATCCATCTACTCACTCACCATTCCATCCTTCCCTCCATCTGCCCAAGTATCCGTCTGTTTATCTATCCATCCACCCAATCAGCCATCCATCCATTTATTCTTCCATCCATTTATCTATCCATCCATCTATTTACCTACTCCCTATCTACCTTTCCATCTGTCCACCCAGTCACCCATCCATCCACCCACCCACCCATCTACCCATTCAGCCCTCCACCTATCTACCTAACCATTCATCCATCTATCCATCCATGTATCCACCAACCCACCAGGTTGGAGACAAGGTGGTGACCCAAATAGATAAGGCCATTGCCCTTGTAGAACTTAACACCTAATGGGCCAACATACAGTACACAAGATAATCCCTGATTGTCCTACGTGCCATGAAGGAAGTAACAGGTGACATGATGGTGAGTGCTTGGAGTGGGGAAGGCTGCTGCAAGGGAAGCCCCTGAGCCAGGCCTAAAGGATAAGGGGAGGAGAGCTCAGGGAGCCCAAGGGAAACTGCAGTTGCTGAGACCCTGAGTAATAACTACTCAGCTTCTTTAAGGGGGGCTGGTGGAGGGAGACAGGGAGATCTTGACTCTCTGGGCAGGCTCTGGGCTCAGGCTGGGGCAGTGGCCGGGAAGAGGGAAAAACATGGTCAGATTTGACCTACATTTTGGAGGCAAAACCAGTGAGCTGGTGAAGGATTGGAACAGGGAGGAAGGTGTGAGGCGAAGCTGTTTGCTGGGATCCGTCTTTATACTTTTCAGTTCTTCATCCCCCACTTGCAGCCCTCCTTCGGGAGACCCTATTTCCACATTTTGTGAACAAAGGAGGAAACACTGTTTCTGGGCAAGTAAGTCACTTGCCCCGGGTCTTCCAGCTGGGCAGGGGTAAAGCTGGGATTCTAACTGGGTCTGTCTGTGTGAGAATTCCTTCAGGTTTCACTGGACCGTGTAGCTGGCAGGCGTTGGGGGAGCTTAACACTTAGGGACGCCGTGGAGCCACGGAGTTCCCTGGGGGCCAGGCCTTTGCAGGGTAAATTCATAATTAGTGTAGAGAAAATTTCTGGAACATTAATCACATGTTTTTATACATGTGAATTAAAATTTTTAAAATTTTATTTATTTATTTTTATTTTTTGAGACAGAGTCTTGCTGTGTCGCTCAGGCTGGAGTGCAGTGGCGCGATCTCAGCTCAGTGCAACCTCTGCCTCCCGGGTTCAAGCGATTCTCCTGCCTCAGCCTCCTGAGTAGCTGGGACTACAGGTGCCCACCACCACGCCCCACTAATTTTTGTATTTTTAGTAGAGACGGGGTTTCACCATATTGGCCAGGCTGGTCTCGAACTCTTGACCTTGTGATTCGCCCGCCTCGGCCTCCCAAAGTGCTGGAATTACAGGTGTGAGCCACCATGCTCGGCCTAATATTCATATTCTTTTAAAAGCATAAGCATGCAGCCGGGCACAGCAGCACACACCTATAATTTCAGCACTTTGGGAGGCTGAAGTGAGAGGATTACTTGAGCCCAGGAATCCGAGACCATCCTGGGCAACATAGTGTCTCTACAAAAAATTTTAAAATTAGCTGAGCGCATACCTATAGTCCCAGATACTCGGGAGGTTGAAGTGGGAGGATCACTTGAGCCTAGGAGGTCAAGGCTGCAGTGAGCTGCAATCATGCCACCACACTCCAGCCTGGGCAACAGAGCAAGACCCTGTCTCTCAAAAATAAATTTTAAAACTAAATTGTAAAAAATAAAAGCATAAGCCAGGCGCATTGGCTCACACCTTTAATCCTAGCACTTTGGGAGACCTAGGCGAATGGATCACCTGAGGTCAGGAGTTCGAGACAAGCCTGGCCAACATGGCAAAACCTGGTCAATACTAAAAATTCAAAAATTAGCCAGGCGTGGTGACGGGCGTCTGTAATCCCAGCTACTCGGGAGGCTGAGACAGGAGAATCACTTGAATCCAGGAGGCGGAGGTTACAGTGAGCCGAGATTATGCCACTGCACTCCATCCTGGGCGACAGAGTGAGATTCTGTCTCAGAATAAAAATAAAAATAAATAAATAGATAAATAAGCCAAAACCAAATAAAAGTAGTTTTAGATGTTCTGGATCACTTCTCCCTCTGGGAACAGGGGGAGGAAAGACAGATTTTTCACTAGTTAGTGTGGTATCTGCATACACCACACACACACACACCCCCCCCCCCCACACACACACGTGTCATCTGTGTGGATTGGGAGGCTAGGGCACAGGTTGTTTTGGCAGATGACACCACCTTCTGTTCTCATGGTCACCTGAGAGGCACTCTGGACTCTGAGCTTCAGCCTCAAGAGGTGGGTTTTCATCACCTCCCCTCTGGGCAATTGAAGTTCCCAGGGATAGAATTCTAGATTGGCCACACCCCATGAAGAAGCAGTGCTCTCTGGCCCTGGCTGTGGGTCCCCACCCACCTCCTAAGCAGAGCAGCTGTGTGCTACTCAGGGTCAAAAGGTGAGACTTGAGGAGGTGAAGAGGTGCTCGTCAGGAACCAGGGTTTTCTCGTTTGCCTGCCATGGTCTGGAGGTCTGAGCAGCTGTAAACCAGGCCAGGCTGCCAGACGCCAGGGGTGTGGCTGGCCCTGATCATTCCCTGCTGGCCCAGGCCCCTGGCCATACCTGAGCCCTGGCATTTTTGGAGAACTGGGTCACACCTCGGCTTTTGAACTATGTGGTTGAGCATTTACCACATTCCCAGACTGACGAGGCTTCCGGGCAGAGCTCCTCCTGTCCCTCCCTAAAACCGCTTCTGCCGTTCCCTTGCCCTTGAGTCCCAGTCTTCTCCTTGCCTGCCTTTTCTGAGAGCACAGGTGGGCCAGGGAGTGCTAGAGTCTGGCTGCCTGCCTTCTTTCTGTACTCCTTTTTATGCTTTTTGTCAATTCTCTAAACCTTAGTTTCTCTTGAGTCAGGATTTCCGTTTCCTCATTAACACTCTCAAAAACTGCCTCTTCTCTTCCTCTTCTCTTCTGGCTTTCCAGAGAAGCGGAGGCTTAGTCTTCCCTCTGCGGCTGTAGAAAGCACCTCTGGCTGTTCCCAGAGGCAGGGCAGCCATTGCCTCTTCTTCCTTGGTAGAATTCGAGCAGTTGCCACTTACAGAGTGCTGGTCATGTGCCACGTGGGCACCTGACCTGTGTCATCTCATTTATCCCTCAAAGGACCCAAGAGGTAAAGATCGTTAGCCTCATTTTGCAGAGGAGGGAATGAGTGCCACGAGGATGAGTGACTCTCCAAGAGGTCACCCAGCTGGAAAGCTGACTGAGCCTAGATTCAGACGGGTGCTGTGACCCCAGAGAATGTGCTTGGCCTCACTGCACTGCCCAACCCCTCCTTGTGCTGCTCTTGGGGGGCAGTTCTGTAAGCAGTTATGGTCCCTCTGAGCCATGAGGAAGGCCGCTGGGGTCAGCGTGGCCTCATGGGAATCAGCATGGCGCTGCACTGGACTAGGACACAGGCCTCATGGACCCCGACCCCGAGAGGCCTCCAGGAGCCCCCAGCTCAGTCAGGATGCCCAGGTTCTTTCTGTAGTAGTTTGATTTTTTTTCTTTTTTTCTGATTATATAAATGACATGTGGCAGTTTTTTCTTTTTCCTTTTTTTTTTTTTTTTTTGAAGCAGAGTCTGACAGAGTGCAGTGGCACAATCTCGGCTCACTGCAACCTCTGCCTCCCAGATTCACACCGTTCTCCTGCCTCAGCCTCCGAGCAGCTGGGATTACAGGTGTGCAGCACCACACCTGGCTAATTTTTGTATTTCTAGTAGATGGGGTTTCACCATGTTGGCCAGGCTGGTTTTGAACTCCTGACCTCAAATGATCCGCCAACCTCGGCCTCCCAAAGTGCTGGGATTACAGGTGTGAGCCACCGCACCCGGCCTACATAGCAATTTTTAATGGATTTGCTCATTAAGAAACATGGTTAACACTTGGGGCTTATCCCTCCAATATTTTTTCTGTGAGTACACACATATACATACTGGCAATATAGATACAAAATTAGGGCATGTGGCTTAGGTCAATTTTTTTTCTTTTTTTAACACAGGATCTTGCTCTGTTGCCCAGGCTGGAGTGCAAGTGGCATAGTCATGGCTCACTGCAGCCTGGACCTCCTGGGCTCAAGTAATCTTCCAGCCTCAGCCTTTTAAGTAGCTGGGACCACACAGATGCACCCCCACGCCCAGCTAATTTTTGTCTTTTGCGCAGAGATGAGGTCTCACTGTGTTGCCCAGGCTGCTCTCGAACTCCTGAGCTCAAGTGATCCTCCCAACTCAGCCTCCCAAAGTGCTGGGATTATAGGCATGGGCCACCAAGCATGGCCTATGTAAAATTTTTATTATATATTTTTTAGCAGGTAATAAAGGTTGAACATCCCAAATCAAAAAATCCAAAATCCAAAATGCTCCAAAATCTGCAACTTTTTGAGCACTGACATCAGATTCTCACTGGAACATTTCAGACTTCAGATTTTCAGATTAGGGTTGCTCATTCAGTAAGTATAATATTCTAAAATCTAACAAAATCTGAAACCCAAAACACTTTTGGTCCCAAGGCTTTTCAGTAAAGGATACTCGACCTGTATAAGATCATGGTTCAAAATTTTTTTTAAAAAAGAAAGAAGATAAACAGTGAAAAATTTTCCTCCCTCATTTTCCTACCAGAAATCCAGTTCTCTTTCCTGTGTTAATGTTTTATGGTTTAATCCTTCCAGAGATACTAGAAAAGTAAACAATACATATATGTGTGTACAGACACATATTGTTGTCTTTTTTTTTTTTTTTGAGACGGAGTCTCGCTCTGTCGCCCAGGCTGGAGTGCAGTGGCGCGATCTCGGCTCACTGCAAGCTCCGCCTCCCGGGTTCACGCCATTCTCCTGCCTCAGCCTCCGAGTAGCTGGGACTACAGGCGCCGCCACCTCGCCCGGCTAATTTTTTGTATTTTTAGTAGAGACGGGGTTTCACCATGTTAACCAGGATGGTCTTGATCTCCTGACCTCGTGATCCGCCCGCCTCGGCCTCCCAAAGTGCTGGGATTACAGGCTTGAGCCACCGCGCCCGGCCTATTGTTGTCCTTTTTTCTCCCAGATAAGATGGCATAAGAGACCTATTCTTTAATGTCTTGCTTTTTTTTTAACCTAGAGATTATTCCATATCTGTTCATAAATATTATTATTATTATTATTTGAGACAGAGTTTTGCTCTTGTTACCCAGGCTGGAGTGCAATGGCACAATCTCAGCTCACTACAGACTCCGCCTCCCGGGTTTAGGTGATTCTCCTGCCTCAGCCTCCCGAGTAGCCGCGATTACAGGCACGCACCCCCACGCCTGGCTAATTTTGTATTTTTAGTAGAGACGGGGTTCTCCACGTTGGTCAGGTTGGTCTTGAACTTCCGACCTCAGGTGATCCGCCCTCCTTGGCCTCCCAAAGTGCTGGAATTACAGGTGTGAGCCACCGTGCCTGACTGAATCATTTTTATTTTTAATAGATGTTTCCTTATGTAATTAAACATTTTCTAAAACTTGAATTTTTTAAAGTTGTATGGAATTCCATCATACCAATGTACTTTATTTACATAGACCTATATTGATGGACATTTGCTTCCAATTTTTTACTAAATAACATTGATTTTAAATAATTGCATATTCTTTTTTTTTTTTTTTTTTTTTTTTTGTGGTGGTGGTGTTGAGATGGAGTTTCGCTCTTGTAGCCCAGGCTGGAGTGCAGTGGCATGATCTCGGCTCACTACAACCTCCACCTCCCAGGTTCAAGTGATTCTCCTGCCTCAGCCTCCTGAGTAGCTGGGAGTACAGGCGCATGCCACTATGTCCAGCTAATTTTTGTATTTTTAGTAGAAGTGGGGTTTCGCTGTGTTGGCCAGGCGGGTCTCAAACTCCAGACCTCAGGTGATTCTTCTGCTTTGGCCTCCCAAAGTGCTGGGATTACAGGTGTGAGCCACCATGCCTGGCTGACTATTGTTATTCAGTGGTCTTGTGCATCGATAAATATTTCTTTAAAATCAGTATCCAGAAGTGAAACTACTGTGTCAAAAGACATAAACTTATGACCAAATTGTCCTCCAGAAATGTACCAGTTTCTACCGTCAAATTTTCTACATCATGAAAATGTAGTTTCTACACAAATTTTCTGCATCATGTTTTCTACATCATGACATTGTGGTTTCTTTTTCATTTGTCTTTTATATCTATATAGGTGATTCTAAAATTTCTTTTTATCTTTTGCTTCATGTCTGTTCACGTTCTTTGCCACTTTTTTTGGTTAGGATAGTGTTCCTTTTTATTGATTTGTAGGTACTCTTTATTTATTAAGATTATTAAGGTTTTGTCTGTCAATAAATATCAAATGAAGCCTGAGTTCTAGTCATGCCTATGACAAAGACTTGTGTGATTTTGCTCCATGATCCAACCCTCAGTGTTCCAAGCTGCAAATATTGTGATCCCTGAGGCCAGTTTCTTACTGTGACATATCTGTATCCTTTAACCTTTCAGGCGCCAGGAACTCCGAGAGCTTCGGCTGCTCCAGAAGGAAGAGCATCGGAACCAGACCCAGCTGAGTAACAAGCACGAGCTGCAGCTGGAGCAAATGCACAAACGTTTTGAACAGGAAATCAACGTGAGTGCGAGAAAAGATGGGACCCTGGAGGGCTTCTTGCCTCTGTGTGTTCTCTCAGAGGAAGCTACATAGTGGGAATGATTGGGTAGTGAAGAGTAATTCACAACAATTGCCCAATTCCTGGAGGCTTCCTGATCTTGTTAGGCGGTGACTTGTTAACACAGAACCCCGTGAAGGTCACAGTGATCCCGAGTCCCACGGGAGGATCTCCAGAGGGCAAATAACCTTTACTGAGCACCGTGCAACAACACATGGTCTGGTCTCCCGTTTGCAGATGAGGAAATGGAGACTCGGGCCAAGCAACTTGCCCCGGGTCACACAGCAAGCGGGTGGTGGAGCTGGGATTCAAGCCTAGGTCTGATCACAGGCTCCGAGTTCTCCCCATCCCAATCCCCATGTCCCTTCTAGGTACAAAGTGACTTTGCTGAATTTCTCGGAATTTCTGCTCCTTTCAGGCCAAGAAGAAGTTCTTTGACGTGGAATTAGAGAACCTGGAGCGTCAGCAGAAGCAGCAAGTGGAGAAGATGGAGCAAGACCATGCCGTACGCCGCCGGGAAGAGGCCAAGCGGATCCGCCTGGAGCAGGATCGGGACTACGCCAGGTTCCAAGAGCAGCTCAAACTGATGAAGAAAGAGGTGAGTATGTGCTGGGCGGGGGCAGGGGCAGCTCGGAGTATTAGGGCCTTCTTGGTTGCAAGTGATCATGGCCCCAGCTCAACCTCACCTTGGCAACAAAGGGGTGTGGCTAAAGAGCTCGGGAGCAGGTGAGGCTGGATCTGTGTGCCCGAGCTGTGCCATGAGGAGCCACTTCTCCATCCTGTGAACTCTGCTTTCCTCTGTGTTGCTGTGGCTTAGGGCAGGCCCTCACTGTGTGGCCTCAGGCAGCTTCCTTTACATCCTCCCAGCTTAGCAACCCCTGCCGAGAAAGAGCAGGGAATAAGGAAGGGCTGGTGGCCCAGGGGAATTTGAGATGCTGTTCCCAGAAGGGCTGGTGGGTGCTGGGTGGGTGGGCACATACAGCATGCCCTCTACGCTCCACCCTCTCTACCTCCTCCTTCTCCCCGAGTTGGAAGGGGAAGGGGAGGGTGGAAGGAGGAGTCTGGTCCTGAGGCACATCTCATGGGCTGCTCTGCGAGAGGCATCTGGGCATCAAAGAACAGCCCATGCCTCCCTTTGTGGAGGACGGAGACAAGCAGGAACACCAGGGCAGGCTGTGCCCAGTCTCCCAGCTGGGAGCAGTGGATGAGCAGCCTCTGAGGGTGGTCCTCAGGACCTCAGAGCCCAGATTCCAGGCTTTACCATGGTGGGCATGACATTTGGGGCGTCCCAGAGGCCGTGGGCAGCTGCCTCTGGGAGCCAGGGCTCCTGGCCAGCTGAGCAGCTGAGGCAGTCACCTTAAGCACAGATGTACCTCGGAGATACCGCGGGTTTGGTTCCATACCCCTGCAATAAAGTGGATAAAAAATAAAGCCAGTCAGTATTCAGTAAACATGCTGTGCACAGATGTGCTGTCACCTGGGCTTTGTGGCTCCATTTTTAGAGCACAGGCAGAGTAGATTTAGCCTGATTTTTTTTTTTTTTTTTGGAGATGGAGTCTTGCTCTGTCACCCAGGCTGGAGTGCAGTGGTGCAGTCTCGGCTCACTGCAACCTCTGCCTCCTGGGTTCAAGCAGTCGTTCTGCCTCAGCCTCCCAAGGAGCTGGGACTGCAGACGTGCACCACCACACTTGGCTAATTTTTGTATTTTTAGTAGAGATGGGGTTTCACCATATTGGCTAGGCTGGTCTCAAACTTCTGACCTCATGATCTGCCCACCTCGGCCTCTCAAAGTGGTGGGATTACAGGCGTGAGCCACCGCGCCCAACTTAGCATGATTCTTAAGGGCCCCTAGGATTTTCAAAATGGTAAATGAGCATTGGCTTCAACTTCAAGTCATCATCAGCATTAACCCCTAACAAGAGAATCAGCCTGTCCTTTGAAGCTTTGAAGCCAGGCATTGACTTCTCCTCTGTAGCTTTGAGAGTCCTAGATGGCATCTTCTACCCAGAGAAAGCTGTTTCATCTACACTGAAAATCTGTTGTTTAGTGCAGCCACTTTCATCAATGATCTTAGCTAAGTCTTCAGGATAACTCACTGCAGCTTCTGCGTCAGCACTTGCTCTGTACCTTGCACTTCCATGTTACGGAGCTGGCATCTTTTCTTGAACATCATGAACCAGCCTCTGCTAGCTTCCAGCCTTTCTTCTTCAGCTTCCTCACCTCTCTCAGCCTTCACAGAATTGAAGAGTTAGGGCCTTGCCCTGGATTGGGCTTTGGCATAAGGGAGTGTTGTAGCTGGTTTATCTTCTACCCAGATCACTCAAACTTTATCTCAGCATAGGCCGTTTTGCTTTCTCATCATTCATGTTCATTGGAGTAGCACCTTTATCTTTCGAGAACTTTTCCTTTGTATTCACAACTTGGCTGACCGTCTGGTGTAGGAGGCCTAGCTTTTGACCCAGTAAGTTTTCTCCATGCCTTTCTCACTAAGCTTCATCATTTCTAGCTTTTGATTTAAAGTGAGAGACGTGGCAACTCCTGCTTTCACGTGAACACTTGGAGGCCATTGTAGGGATATTCATTGGCCTCATTTCAATATCGTTGTGTCTCAGAGAATAGGGAGGCCTGAGGAGAGGGGAAGAGACGGGGGAAAGGCCAGTCTGTGGAGCAGTCAGGTCACATTCAACATCTATTGATTACGTTTGCTGTCTTATATGGGCTCGTGGCACCCTATAACAATTACAGTAGTGACGTCAGAGGTCACTCATCACAGGTCGTCATGATAGAGATAATAATAATGAAAAAATGTGAAATATTGCGAGAATTACCAAAACGTGGACGGGAAGTGAGAACATGCTTTTGGAAAAATGACGCTGATAGACTTGCTCGACACAGAGTTGCCACAAACCTTCAATTTGTAAAAATCACAGTGTCTGCAAAGTGTAATAAAGTGAAGCATGAAAAAATGAGGTATACCTGCACAACATTTCAGAGGACCCAAGAACTCAGTCATCAAGATAAAAAAAATGTTAATGCAGCCGGGCGCTGTGGCTCACACTTGTAATCCCAGCACTTTGGGAGGCCCAGCCGGGCGGATCACTTGAGGTCAGGAGTTCAAAACCAGTCTGGCCAACATGGTGAAACCGCATCTTTACTAAAAATACAAAAAAATTAGTTGGGCGTGATGGCAGGTGCCTTAATCCCAGCTACTCGGGAGGCTGAGCAGGAGAATTGCTCGAACCCAGGAGGCAGAGGTTACAGTGAGCCGAGATCACACCATTGCAATCCAGCCTGCTCAACAAGAGCAAAACTCCGTCTCAAATATATATATATTCTGTTCATTCCTGGATTTGTTAATTTCCAGAGAAGCCAGACAAACAAACAAAAAGTCCAACATTGAATAAATAAAACAGCTACCAACATGCTAGGGAAGCATATAGACTGGCTGACTAGAGATCCAGAGAGATCTGCTTTAGACGGGTCTGGGAAAGCCTCTCAGTGTTTGACGTGTAAACTGAGTACAGAAGGATGCTGGCAGGCCTAAGAACCTTCTAGGAGGGTGGGACAGCACCTGCAAAGGCCCTGAGGTAGGGGAAAGAGCTTGGAGTGTTCAAAGAGCTGGAAAACCATCCATGTAGCAGGCGCTTAGGAAGCAAAGGGGAGATTGGCACAAGGTGGAATCAGACAGGTAGGGCAGAGACCAGCTCACGCAGGGCAGTGGGCCACAGGCAGGAGTGTGCTATTTTAATAATCCTGTTAACGTCCAGTCCTTACATAGATGTTGTAGCATTAAATGAGAAGTACATTCAGGGTTAGACCCAGTATCTGCTCGGAATAAGAGCTGGGTAGATGCCCATTCCCTCCTTGGCTCTGTGCCGTGTCACATGTGCACACCTCGTGTGTGTATGTGTGTGTGTATAAGGACTTGTAAGAGTGGAAGAGAGAGGAGGCGACTGAGGAAGTTGCCTAGTTTAGGAGGGGGTGGGGGAAGCCACAGATCTCCTCACCCTTTCCCAGAACGTGCCCTTAACAAAGTTGGACTTCCTCACCAGCAGGGTTCCAGGAAGGCTCTCAAGCCTGCCGCTGAACGCTGAGGCAGAGTGTGGGATCTGGCACCTGGGGTTCTAATCACATTCAGTTTTTTAAAATATCTTTTTCTATGGGTGTTTTTCTTCAAGAAGTTTTCATGGAAAGAAAAAGCTTAACTTCTTTGCTCTTTTGGCTTTTTTTTTTTTTTTTGAGACGGAGTCTCGCTCTGTCGCCCAGGCTGGAGTGCAGTGGCCGGATCTCAGCTCACTGCAAGCTCCGCCTCCTGGGTTCACGCCATTCTCCTGCCTCAGCCTCCCGAGTAGCTGGGACTACAGGCGCCCGCCACCTCGCCCGGCTAGTTTTTTGTATTTTTTTTAGTAGAGACGGGGTTTCACCGTGTTAGCCAGGATGGTCTCGATCTCCTGACCTCGTGATCCACCCGTCTCGGCCTCCCAAAGTGCTGGGATTACAGGCTTGAGCCACCGCGCCCGGCCTTTTTTTTTTTTAAATGATAAGACTGGAGTGCAGTGGTGCAATCACAGGTCACTGCAGCCTTGAACTCCTGGGCTCAAGTGATCCTCCTGCCTAGGCCTCCTGGGTATTTGGGACCCTGCTGTTTTAAAAAAAATTTTTTGTAGGAATAGGGGTCTCACTTATTTGCCCAGGCTGGTCTTGAATTCCTGGCCTCAAGTGATCCTCCTGCCTCGGCCTCCCAAAGTGTTGGGATTACAGGTGTGAGCCATTGCACCCAGACTCTTTTGGCTTTTTGAGGAGGACAGGGCTCACACCATTTAGTAAGATGGTGTCCCAGGTACTGGTCTTTTGTGTAGACAAACTTGCTTGCTTTGATTCTGCTGCTTACTTGTGTAACAGATAGCGATGGCAGGAGGCCAGCGAGAGGCTTTGCCCCATGGCAACCCCAGATATCCCAGATGGCACTGTCTTGCCATTGCCTACTCCATGCTCCTAAGAACTCCTTCTCTATTCCAAAGGTCACCTCTGTGAGGGCTGCAAGGTGCTGGGTGAGGAAGTAGGAATTCCAAGTAGGAATGGGAGGTCTGGCTCATTGCCCTTGACATAGTGGTCAGGATGCAGCAGCAGGGGTGAAGGACAAAATTAGAAGGGATGAGGCCCTCCCAGGTGAGCAGCCTCTGAACTTCCTACAGATGCATCAGCGATTCCAGTGCCGCAACAGAGTAATTCACACATGGATGCTGGAGAGGGAGACCATACACAGATGCAACAGGCACTTTCCTTTAACCAGCCCAGAGCAAGGAAGAGTGTACCTGTCCATTTCCCTACGATCCATTCAGTGTGAGAGAGCATGTCATAATTTAAATTCAGGCATGGAAAACACACACCAAAAAAATAAAATAAAATAAAATGTGAGAAGCCTCCTGGGACTCTCTTCAGAATTACAGCAATTGGTGTGGAATATTTATCATGCTAATCACTTTTCAATAAGGAGACATGGATATAGGAAAAATAATTATTAGCAAGGTAGTTGAGCAGGGACCTATTTATTCTTCATGTCAATTTCTTTTTTTTTTTTTTTTTGAGACGGAGGCT